GAGTGAGGCAAATGGATGTTTGTGTGAAAAATTGTAAGATATAGAACCAAGGTAAATAAGACCGTGATGTGTTCAATTTTCGCCAAATTTTTTAACTGTGATTTTTGCTTATCATTCCACATCTATTTCTTGTATAGCTCAGTGAAATATATGGTATATATATACTTTGTCACATCACAGAGATATTTTTTAATTTATAACTGTTTTTCCACTCAATGTACGTTCACCCCAACCAACACACTCCCTTATCTATAATTTTCTTACAAGAAATCAATTTATGTGCACTTTTACCACCTCACCACTCAGGCACTTCTACACTAAAATTAGCATTTCCCATCACGATCGAGGGATCTCGAGGTCTCTCACACGCCCCACAGCAAGAGCTCCTAAGTCACGACTTATTTTCAGCTTTTAGCAGCTTTAAGGGGAGTTCTGGAGTCACGCTAAGGAGTCACCCACACACCCCAGGCAGGCGAAAGGCGGCTTCACCTTGCTCTGGGCAGACCCAGCATTGTGTAACTGCCCAGGCTGTGCCAAGCAGGAGCTTATCCTGCCTCCCCAGCAAGGGATTCCTGGCTAACAGAGCACAGGGAGCTTGTGTGGGCTTGCAAGAACACCCCATTCCAGTTTTTGTTTGTCTTTAAATTCCAAGTCACGTGTGTTTGTTACCGTTCCTCCACTTTGCGCCTAACCCTTCAAAAAGAGTGAATTAACGTTGCTTAGTCCTCGAGACCCTAATTCTTGTTTTCTGGTAGCGTTTTCTCAATATCTAAATCTCTGCCAGGATTCTGTCTGAATTGGCCTTAATCTTCATTTCTTCAAAAGGATTAAAAGCTTCTTCAGCTTTGTAAGAAAAGTCAGTCCAAAGACAAACTCAGGAAAGTTTTTAACAGGCTGGGCTGTTCATTTTAACCCAACTGCTGCCTGAAGTTCATAATCCACCTGAAATCAGCAAATTATTACTCACTTGAATTACAGTTTGGGTTGGAAGGACCTTAAAGCTCACCCCATTCCAAATCCCCTCCATGCACAGTGACATTTTCCACCATCCCAGGTTGCTCCAAGCCCCATCTCTTCACAACCTTCTTCAAGACTGTCATATTTTTCAGAAAAAAAACCAGGAATTGGAATGGCAGAAGAATCTTCTAAAAATATTCTTTCCTATGTAAAACATACTTGGGCTTCACCCAGTTCCTCATCAAAGCAGAAATCACTGAGCTCAGCTGCTGCAAGGCTACAAAAATCCTCAAGATTTTTTCTCAATTTCCAGAACTCCTTAAAAACAACCAAACTGAGTTCAAGCACCACGACTTGATGAGCAAAAAAACTGTGTGTATGGGTATAGAAAAGTAAACTGGTCTAAATCCAGAAATAGATACCTTAAAAGCAAATCCTTATAAAGATCCTCAATTACTGAATTATCTACTACAAAGCACTAATTATAAAGACATTACAATAGCTGAAGAGGAAAAACCCAGCCTAGTTTAACACACTTGTCAGCTCCAGTTAGCTGCACTCATTCCTTGGAAGAGTTTTTACCCTGTGCCAGTCTTTGGAATCTCTCTGTTCTGCAAAACAAGAGGGAAAGCAGCTAGAAACCACAAACTGCAACAAAAGTACAGTGAAGTCAGCACTTGTTTCATTTTTAAGCATTTTCTCTTAATAAAAGGGCTCAGAGGGTTTGCTGGGCAGATTTAATGAATGCTTTGCCTTACAAATACCACGGCTGATTCACAGGGCTGTGCCAGACTGATACACCACTGATCTCTGAGCTCATATCAGTTACACATCAATTACAGTTATGTCTGCAAGACAGAATAAACCTCCTTTGTAAAAAAAAAAAAAATTCAATCTTTTTAACAGGTCTTGTATGGGAGATGTAAAATTACACCACAAGCAAATTGATGTTTAAAAAAAAAAAAAAAAAAAAGCTACAAAGGAACCTGGAGTAATTAGAGTCAATTTGGAGATTTTCCAAAAAATTAATTCCCATAAACATTCCAATTGTTGCCCAGGACTTATCTCGCAGGACTTATCTATTGACTTCAATCACAATGAGTTCACACCCTCTTCCAAGCCCCAGAATGCTGTGAGTAATCTTTGCAGCACGGAGTAAATCCCGAGTAGATAAAGAAACTTCAGCCTTGACCTTTGCAACAGGGAGAGCAGAGGGAGCAGACAGCTCAGGAAGGCAAACAAAAGAGGGGACAAGTCATCCTAATGATATTATCCATCCACAGAGAATCCCTGGAGCTTCACACATCCTTGAGGAAAGGTTTTGATTTACAGAGGTCATTTGGGGAAATTTGTGACAGAACTCGAAGATCTGTCACAATTAATTTTGTGGAGGCAGCTAAAGAAAAGGGTGAGCATTTCCACACACTGTAATTTTAATTTTAAGACAAGAAACCACCACCCAACCAAAGCCACCCCCTCAACAGCCCAAGGTTAATAGCAAAGCCTGCCCAGCCTGGAGGTCATCCCATGGATTTTAAAATTGATCTTTTGTACGTGATCAAGTTACTGAAACCTGCACAACAGCATTAAGGATTGCTCAATAAAATAACTGCTGCCTCTCTCCAGCTCAGGAAAGGTCATTTCTTGGTTAAGGAATAACAGGAGAATACCACATTTTTTCCAGCCATATGAAAAGAGACTTTTTTTTTAAGAGCAAGTGTTTTACATGTACTTATTAATCCTCAAGTCCCTAGATAAATGTATAAATAATATATTCAGTTCATAGACACAAGAAGAACTGAGGTCCATCAGTTACCACCTGGATTTTCAGAACATTCCTTAATTTTTAATGGCAAACTTGAAACAGCTACCGACACTTTTCTGAAGACCTAGGAATATTTCAGTGGCAATTAATGGACACAATTTGCCCTATGCAACAGTCAGGTCCCACACACCCCAAGTTGGGGCGTTTATTTGCTTCTCCTCATCTCCCAGACTTGGTTTGTCCCAGAGAGGATGGAAGTGGGGAAAAAAATGCTTAAATCCAAAAGTCATGGGTTGTTTTTCCCAATGTCACTCCCTGCCAGAGCAAGGCTGAGTCATGACAAGTGGGGAGGTGACAGCACTGAATTCTGTCTCTAAAATTCTCGTCCCAGCTCCTAAATTGACCCTGGCATCCCAATGAGAAATGCAGCAAAGCTCCGGAGGTTTCCAAACTTGCCCTGCTTTGCAAGCAGCTAAACTGTGTATTTACAATATTAATTACTTCTCTTTTCCCTGTTTAGTTAAAAGGTTTGCCAGAATTCCTTTAGCTCACTTGAGACACCAGAAAACTCTGAAATCCAAAGGAACTGATTTTGTAACAGAAGGCGAAGTAGTTGATGGTAGATTTGGAAAGGGAAGCAGAACCTGAGCATAAATTAAGCCCCAGACTCAGAAAAACTGCAACTACAACTAACCTTTGCCTTGAGCTGATATTTAAGGTTCCTCTGATGGAGCTGCAGCAGCCAAGACAATTCAGCAGCAGCCTCCCAAGGGTGTAACCTGTTCCAAAAGGACCCTGTTCCAAACCCTCACCGCTCCAACTTGTGTTTTTGGGACCTGCTGTCTCACCATGTCCAGGCAAACCCACAGTGCAGTTAATGGGCCTCCACTCTCCCCTCTTCTATTAAATCACCCCAGATAAATTTCCTACGCTTCCTGCTTAGATTAGCAACGGCCATTTGTGAGGATGCAAATGAAGCATTCTTCTCACACTGAGCTCACCACCTTGTCTGGGACCTCAAGCCACTGCCAACCCAGCCCTCCCCTGCCAAGGGACACGATTTGCATGATGTGTGGCTGCCCCATGAACGATTTTAAACACATATTAGGGACTATAAAGCAGGCATTTCGTTGCCATGTTTTAGAGAAACTACGAGTAACGTTTTTAGTCCAGCTGTGGCTGACTTGGCTTCTGAAAATCTCAATTTCCTGCCGTTTTTAGAGGCTCAAATCAACGTAGGGTTTTGGCAGCTGAACAATGCACATGTTCCTGGAGGAGGAGGATATTGATACAAACAAAAAACACACCCCCACACACAGCCTGTTTGGTTTTAAGTAACTTATTAAAGCTCCAGTCCCACTGTCTGTAATAAATCTTTCAGCTAATGAAAATGGAAGGTAAATACTGCACCTAATGATCTCTTCCCTGGTCCACTTGGGTTTGAGGAGTTGAAATTATCAGAGATCAATTAATGAATACTGACCCCTGATACACAGCTCAGCATCACATGAAAATTTACACAAAGCTTTTCTATGTGTTTAATTTAACACATAGAATTTTTCTTAATTTTTTTCCTGTTACCCTTAAGACCTCTTTCCTTTTCCCACCCAGAAAACAGAGAATTGACTGTAGACATCCAGCAACAGGTTTTGCCTTTTCCTGCACCGTTATTTTGTTTCACGCATGTATTTTTCCATTTCCTCCCCTTGTATCAAGCAATAAATTATGTAGGCACAAGCTTAACTCTGTCACTCACTACATGACTTTTCAGTTTCACAGTACTTTAATAGATTAATGCCAGTTCTAACACAAACTTCTCCACGGATTTTTGATGCATGGAATGTCTCACTGTCAAGAAACTCCTAGAGTTACATCTCTCCAGAATGTTCCCATTCACCTTCTTACACTATGATCCATTACAAGAAAACAACTGTGAAAATTAATTTCATTCCAAAATGACAAAATGTGCTCTGCTCAAATTGTTTTGCAGATTTAAATTTCTCCTGTCCCACAGCAGCACATGAGCAAAAAAATGAATGTTCATGGGTCCATTAACCACTAACACATTGTTGGGAGCAGGAAGAAAATGCAGAAGGTTTTCAAAAAAACTTTCCAGCATAGTCAAAATCAGCTTTATTTTATGGATGATGGCAGTTACACTGCAGAAAGAATATACATAATTTTTTAACTAAAAGCCTTCTATCAAGGCCTACATTTCCTAGTTGTTAGACTCATACTTAATTTATGCAACCTGACCTTCCCAATTCAAAAATCTTACCTGGCATCTCCTTTTGAAAGGTTGGTGTTTACGGGGTGAAGAATAACCTTGTTTGCATCCACATCCACCACACATTTTGTATGCAGATCAAGCTCTATAAAGAAATGAGAGAGTGTCAAGTGCTGCTCCTAAAGCACTGGGATTATATACACCATTACTTCCTCCAGACACCAAATTTATTCATGCAGTCTGACAGCCACCCATCAGCCAGAGAATAGAAACAGGACTTTTGCCAAATTCCACTTCTAGGGATATTCTGATGGGATGGATCCTGTCCAGCTTTAAAGCAAGCACTCTTTTCAAAGCAAGAAAAAGCATTTGGGTTTCACTGAAGGACAATCAGCATATACAAGGGCAGTATGAAATTTCTGCTGGGGGAAAAGAACCATTTAGGCTTGGTACCACTTTGACAGCTCTTCTTATTGCTCCCTCAATGCCCCACAGGGAAAGCTGCCCCTGCCATCTGCAGCACATTTTCCCCGGCCACTGCTGTGATACGGTGCCAGCTGTCAGTCCTGGGGCACCTGCTCGCAGAAATTCAAGTCCCATCAAAAATAATTTAGGTGCAAGCACGTAGAAAAGGGCTTGTCCTTCCCCCAGAGGCTCCAGGCAAGTCCAGCTCTCCCAAGTGACGCCAAGCAGTGGGATGTGGACTATGAGTAATGAGGATATTTGGAGTGTGTGAGAATTCTCAGCCATAGAGGCGGGGAAAGCAAAATAAAAGCTTCAGATAACACTGACAGCAGTCCAAGGTATCCACCCAGTGACAAATGGAGTTAGGTATGGGATAAAGCACACAGCCTGCACCCAAAGTCACTGCAGAGGACGTGGGGCCTGCACACAAATATGTCGCTGCAGGGTGACACTGGCCCTGGAAAGGGCTCCCAGGTGGTGACTCTGATGGGTGTCATGGCCAAAGTCACTGCTACAGACGCCCAGGACATGGGGCCTGCACACAAACATGTCCCTGCACAGTGACCCTAAGCCTGGAAAGGGCTCCCAAGTGCTCATTCCATGGCCATGACACACTGTTCACCTCCAAAGTCACTGCTACAGCCACCCAGGACGTGGGGCCTGCACACAAATATGTCGCTGCAGGGGGACACTGGCCCTGGAAAGGGCTCCCAGGTGGGGACTCTGATGGGTGTCATGGCCAAAGTCACTGCTACAGACGCCCAGGACATGGGGCCTGCACACAAACATGTCCCTGCACAGTGACACTAAGCCTGGAAAGGGCTCCCAAGTGCTGATTCCATGGCCATGACACACTGTTCACCTCCAAAGTCACTGCTACAGACACCCAGGACATGGGGCCTGCACACAAACAAGCCCCTGCACAGTGACACAGGCCCGGGAAAGGGCTCCCAGGTGCTGATTCCGATGGCCATGACACACTGTTCACTCCCTCCCACGCTGGGATGACGAGGGGCTACGCCGAATAACCTCCACACAGGGTTCAGCACCTCAGCTGAATCACCCAAATACGCTCGTGTCTAATCATGTTAATTATAATCCTCATCCTCCTTCATCTCTGCTCTTTCCTCCTCAGTCACCTGTACTTGCTCTTTCACCTCACAGCACCTTATAAACTCAGTCTGGAAATCTCTCAGGCTGTGCTTATTGCACAGCATCTTGCAGACTTCTCTGTCCTGGTAAGTAACACAATAAGAGGGAGTTTCTTCCATGAACATTTTTGGAAAGAAATGTTACAGCCTTTTGGTACCTCACACACAGCAAAGAAAGCCAAAACTCGAGATCACTGGCCAAAGCAGGCAGTCACATGAAACTGTAATTCTCCTGAGCAAAACTGTTCCTCTGTTATTACACTGTGCTTCTGCAGGAGGAAGAGCCAGACGAGTTCCAGAAGCCAGTGTTTATTTTAATTTCTCCCCACACCCTGAAAGCCAATTTACCTACCATTAATATGCAACGCATGCTTGCTCAGATGAAACCACGTTCTTCGTACATCCCATATCCGACAAGGCACTTTATCTTGGTCTGGCTGGTTAGTGATTAACACTCTCTATTGCAGTGACCTGCTTTTCCCAGCTCCTGAGGAAGGGCTTTACCTGCCTCATGCAAAGCATAAAGGTCTGCAAGCAGCATGCTTTCTGCCACGTTTTTTAATGCAGCTCTTGAGAGAACGCCCATGGCAGGCTTTGCATCCATGACTGCCCAGTGAACTCCATCTTACCAGTGCTCATTAGACCTCTCTGTGAAATGCCCTTAAGAAAGCACACAGGCAGGATAAAAGACTTCCTTAAAGTCAAATGTCATCGCAAGAAACAAGGTTCAAAGCAAATTTGTCCTGTGCAACACACCTTGTTTGATTATCACCCTCACACAGGTAATGCTAAAACCCCTCACCTTGGTGTGCAGCATGGTTTTGGAAGATGTGTTGAGCCAAACTAGCAGCTCTTTCCAAACAGAGAGGTTCTAGTCCTTCCCTCCTGTGCCTGTTGCTCACCTTCTGCCACTACCATGCTCAGCAGAACCTCTGTAAGTCATCTCAAGTTACTTCAACAGCAGAAAACTACCCAGCGTGGAAAATGGATTTATCCAGACCCCATGGAAAGCTCCATCAGCCCACTGAAAGCCTGGCCATGCAAACAGGCAGGGAGACCTGCGCAGAAGGGCAGAGAGGAGCTGGGAGAGATCTTGTCCCAGCTGAGATGAACTGCTCTACCAGTTCATGGTGTCACATGAAACAAACCCCTAAGAAACAGTTATATTGAGCCTCTAAGCTGGGTCTGGATCCAGACATCCTTAAGGCTGCTTATCCCAGTTACCTTGGACAAAGGCTCACATGGAAACTCTCCTTTCAGCTGAAGAAACAGTTTAAATCCTGTTTGAACAGCACATCATTCACTTTCTTCACATTCTTTCTTCACATTCTGCCTCCATTACATACTTTGGCTGATTCCTAAATTCTTTAATGCTTCCGGTACACTGAGAGATGAATCTTACATTAGCCACTACTGAAACTTATATCATCATCATTTCCACCTCATTAAGTTCTTAATATCATTATAGCAGGTTGGCCTTATAGTTAAATTATCTGCCTGCTCTTTTGGATATGATCACACAAGGACTCCACCCTTACTTTTACTAGTTTCAGTGTCTCCCAGGTGGGCTGGGTACTTGGTGCTCCTGAACAACAAGCAAAATTGGGATGCACCAAGATAAGATCATAAGGATGCACATCCAAACACCCCAATTAATTCCTCCTGTAGTAAGGACTCACTTGTCAAAGTTTGGTATTATTTTCTTCAATTATTCAGGTGTGGTTTTTTCAGGCAGCATGAAATTCAGAAATTAAAGGTGAAATTGAAAGATGACAGAAGCAACTCACTATCAAACTTTGAAGATTCATCTCAAATTTTGCACCTCAAAAAGAAAATCTTGCCTGTTATTATTGTTAACTTGCTTCTACCTTCAGTCACTACTGAGCAAACACAATCAAACTACTCGCTTCATCAAATCAAGAAACTAATCAGCTAATTCCTCTTTGAAGAATTAAAAACTCAAAACTCTAAGCATCAAGAACCATTTATTGCAGAGAATGAGAGAATCTCTTTCACAGCTTCAGAGTAAGAGAGCTGTGACATCCATAATAAAGGGTAACACTTATCTGAGTCACTTCTCCACATTTACATTTCACAGCTGTAGAAGTGTTAAGCAAAGCTGGGCTGAGTGTAAGAATAATTGTTAAGTGTTGTGTCCAAGCTGCTCACAGAGAGTTCCTTGGATGAGTTTTTATTTTACTTGTGAAACTGGAAGGTGGGTTTGACAGAGGTTGAAGGAAGCCACTCTCCTTCCCCTTTCCCTTGATTTTTCAACACCTCACAAGACTTTTCTAAAACTGGGATTCAGTGTAGATCATAGCTGAAACCACACTTGTGTAAATCCCAAATCACTACTATACCTTTGATAACAGCATTGTGAGTGTAACAAAAATAACTCACTCCCCATATATGCTCTGGGCTTTTTCACTGAGAAATTCAGCGAGTTTCAAAGAGGGTGGAAAAGTTAGCAAGCAAGAGAGAGCTGGAAAAGCAAACCCAGGAGCAGCCTAGCACTGCAAGGAACGGTGGATTCAGCAGGCACCGGCCCATTCCCACCACAGGTAAGAATTTCCAATCTGTCTGTAATAGCAGTCACGTGTCTGGTAATCATAAACTCACCACAGCAGATTTTCCACAACAGAGTTAAGAAACACTGGCAAAGGTGCCACTTGAAATTGTACTAATCAGGTTCGGGGCAGAGACAAGGAATGTGTGCGAATCCTGGAGGAAGGGGAGAGAGGTATTTTGGAAAATGCTGGATGGTTTCACCTCTGGGAAATTCCTGTCTTTGCTTATGGATCTGGCAGGGAACCGTTTCCATGGACTGGCTGCAACTGCTGGCAACAGAGGTTGGATAATGTTGTACCCAACTCTGGAGGCTGCCTTGGGTGGCACTACAGAAACACCTGAACTGCCACGTGGTGACACTGCATCTTCCTCAGCCAGGACTCTAAAAACCATCCCACTGCAGGTCACTGCATTTCAGACCCAAACAGAATGATCCTAAGAGAAAGCTTTCGCAGGGCAGCTTGAAATAATCTTAAGGTGAACAACGATACAGCAAACAAGGCAGCATGCAAGGTTTTAAAGCTCATGGTTTGAGCGGGCATGGTTTAATAAGAGCTTTTAGTACCACAGCCAGGGCAGATGAAAGGTCTGTTACAAATTATTTCTCCATATTTTCCACTTCACATTCCCTATTTTTTCTCATTGTATAAGATGGCAGCAGCCTTCCAGTGCCTAGAAGTGCCACAAAAGAGCTGGAGAGGGACTTGAGACAAGGGATAGCGGGACAGGGCACAGGGAATTGCTTCCCACAGCCAGAGAGCAGGGATGGATGGGATATTGGGAAGGAATTGTTCCCTATGAGGGTGGTGAGGACCTGGCACAGGGTGCCCAGACACCTGTGGCTGCCTCTGAATTCCTGGGAGTGTCCAAAGCCAGGCTAGAAGGAGCTTGGAACCACCTGGGATAGTGGAAGGTGTCCCTGCCCATGGCAGAGGGGAGAATGAGATGAGTTTTAAGGTCC